TCTATGTCATCATCATTTGTTCATCACGTGACTTCTTATATATTTAGTCTTATTCTACACCATGTACACAGAACTTTCTGTGTCTGAAAGTAAATAACTAGCAATAGAAGAAATAATGAGAAATGTTGCCTTAAAGTAATACAATGAGATTGAGTTGGTGTTATTTTTGCAAAAAATGGAACAGAAATAAATATATTGGTTTAACCCCTCTAAAGAACATCTGATTTTTTTAATAAGAAAACATTTGGGCGATTTGTCTGCCTCTAGTGCAGGTGTAATTCTATAAAATGAAGTATTAAAGTTTATGTTAGATGATGAAAATATATAACAACAATAAAATAACAATGATTTAGGAACAGTGATGACATTTTTTAGCCTAGACGTTCAACCAGGCCCAAGTTGGATGGTTAGTGTTTCTTTTTCTCAAAGTTTAACTAGCACTGATTACTCTGTAGCAGCTTTTTAATTTAATTGATTTTGGGATTTTTTATCTCGATACATTCTAGGAGCTTAAGAAAGTATATGAAACGAAATTGGAGATGACAGGCAAACTGCAAAAGAGGGACATCGAGAAACTGGAGGTTCAGCAACAGCAGGAGCTGAAGGTTTTAGAGAAAAAGTTGAAAGTTGAGCAGGTAAAGTACTTTTGCTCGAGATTTTGTTTATTTAAGGGTTATCTGATGCAAGATTCATTAATATTGCTCAAGACCTGATAGAAACGGAACTCAGCCTGTTAGTAAAGGCACAGGACGGCAAGGTGTTATGTTAATTTACTTTTTTCTGAAATATATGGTGTACTTGTTCACAGGAAAAGTCGTACAAAGAGTTCAAAGAATCACTCAAAGAAGAACAGAAGGCGCTTAAAAAAGAGGTATCTCCACGTAGCTTTTATCATTTCTGTTAAGCATCAAATGTTATAGAAAATAAAGTTGCTGTCTGTCGGCGAACAAGAAAGGTTTTGATTTCTAGCACTTGCTTTCTTCTTAGAATCTTTTAGTGAACTAAATGCTGAGTAATATCCTGTCGAAGTGTCAAGGAAAACAGCTTTGTGCAGACTTCCTTGTGGTTTGAGAAAAAATTTTAATTTATAGTCCTGTGAAGATAATGAAATTTCAAAACAATCAGCTTTACCATGAATCAGTGCCAAGATAGTCGTTTCATTTTTAGCACTCAAGAATTCAATGAATCTAAAAGCATGATGTTTTTACGGACTGACTTGAATTCGATTTGAATTGAAATAATTCTGCTGAAAACCATCGCCCCATTTTGCTAGCTGGTTGCAGATTCAAATGTACAAATTAGTTGCCAGACGTCGTTAGTCACATTTTATTATTTTTCCAATTTCAGACAGATAAAATGCCTAAAGCTGTTCGAAAAGAAGAGTTCAGACGCAGAAAAGAGCTGTTGGATTATTCGCATCAAAATGTTGTATGTCTCTATTTTGTTTTGTTTTATGAATTAAATGATCACAAACCAACAGCCCTTCTGATCATTGGGTTAATTACCAGACTGGAGGATACGTGACACGAGTGTGCTATGTTTAATTTTAGTTTTAAAAGAGTTTCTATTCTAAATGACTTCAACGAGCTCTAGAATAATCTAGTTAAAAAATTATTTATGGCATATAACTGTTTGTCATACTGTGTGAAATTGTGATGATTCTACTCGAATTTCTAGGTTGTATTCAAGCGTCCCGGGTTTTATTTCATTTCCATTTCATTTTTCATTATTTCGGCACGGTAGCCCCTCAGTCTAAAGGTGAACCTTCAGAAAATAAGCTTGTATTTTAAGTTTAAAGAAGTTAGATATTTTGTTCTGTCTCAAAGAAATCTTGTTAGTGTCAGTTACATATTAGCAGGAGTTTTTGATACGAATTCTGTCTATGAAGATAATGTTTCACTCCCATGGCCGTTTTGCGGCATAATTTGTAGCCAATGTGGTTGGATTTATTCCATTATTTTTCAGGAACGTGAATTCAAAGCAAGGCAAGCATTGGACTTTGAAACTTTCCACAGGGAGAAAACTGAAGAAAGAACTCGCAAAATATTCGAAATGGAGATGGGATTTTTGGAAATAAAACATAATCTCCTCAGAAGTATGTTTGATAATGTAAATTATTTAGAAAAAAATGTTCCTTTGAGAATGACAGGCGATGATTTTGTTGCTATCGGAAATCCTTTACAAATGTAGCAAAATTTAATAGTGGATGCCCAAAGCGAAGTTAAATTCGTTGAAGTGAATTGCAGACTTTTTCCTCTGATGATAAAGTGCCTGTCAAATGCAAGCCTGTGAAAATCGTTTTATTTCTTTAAGACTGGAAATCGGATGAATGGGAACTGGAGCAAGAACATATCCACCGCAAGCATCAACTCACAAAAACGCAGCTACAAGAGACATTTTATCTTCAACGAACGCAAATGGCTGCAAGGCACAAAAAGGTGATTTTGCTCTTCAAAATTGTTTGCAGCATGTTTTTACCCCCTGCGGAAAGAGAGTTTTTAAAAGCAGATGAAATTTTTCGATTCTTTTTTCATTATTTTTAGTACATTAGAGCTTTGTCAAGACATACGATCTTTTCGGATAGCCAAAGCACCCCCCCCCCTCCCTCCAAAAAAAATTATGAGCAGGTTTATTTTTAATGGGATGTAGAAACAACGGATTTGTTGGGGAGACGAACAAGATAGAGTTTTGAATGAGGAAGGCAGCCCCCTGACCTGGAGCATGCGCATTCAGCTGAAATACCTTTGCACAAATGAGTCGATGAGAATCTCTGCTGCACTGTTGTTTCATAGGCTTGAGTGCTTTTTAGCTTAGATTTTATAATCAGCAGCGCAGAAAACTGTTTTTACGCTTTTTGTTCACCATTGAAGTGTAAACTGTAAGGTTAAAAGATTCGCTTGGAAGTATTTGCATGTGTAGGCAATCATTTACAACATACAAATTATCACATTATCAACAAATTATCAACATATTAGTTCGCAACATACAAATTATTTTTAAAAGGTAACATAAGCAAATGATTAAACTAAACTATAATAAAAGTAGCAATATTACAGAAAATGAAAGCATTTATATGATAAATTAAAACATCAAAGTACGAAACTATATAAATAACCCTGAAATAAACTTAACAATACAATACAATAGATAACAATGCAATATAATGCAATGTATAAATATGAATATAGGAACGAAAGAAATTAATTGTATTAAGGGAATTACTTAAAGGAGGAGATCTCTCAATAAATAAACTAATCGAGAAGAGACCCCTTCCCCCCTCCTCCCCTCTTCCTCCCCCCCCCCAAATCATTGAAATGTAAACTAAATTGTTAAAAGATTCGCATGAAAGTAGTTTGCATGTGTATACAATCATTTGTCTTTGCAGGAAATTGAGCAACACAACCGGCTGTATCGAATCAAGGACGAAGAACTGAAGCGAAGACATGATTTGGAAAAGAAGAGGCTGCCGAAAATCCAACGAAATGAGATCAAGAACCAAGTTCAGGCTTTGAGGAGGCAGCTCAAAACAGACAGAAAGCGGGATTCGATTATGGGATATTTGAGCTCTGGTGACAAAGAGCAATTAAGAGAGGTAGGTTTCGTCACTTAGGCCTGGATGAAGCGTCGAGCCTATAATGTATGGATTAAGCATATCAGAGGGACGACGTTTGATTTGATTAAGCGCACGAGATCGATCTAATCGAGTAGCTTCTCATATGCGCGTTATTTAAGTTATTATCAATAACTCTCAGTCTTATTTTGATAATTATTCGCCGTCGCTGTTATAAAGGATTGAGCTAGACAAACCGTGCCAATTTCTAATACTTCATGAAACATTTCAAAATGTTATTTGCTCGAAACATTTCGACGTTTGAAGCAATTTGAGGCTATAGGAAGCTTTTTTCTGTTCGTAGCCACTGCTAACCGACATAGGAATAAGTGTTTAGCTCCCTGGCGTTGCTATCTACGTAAGATATCATTCTTTTTTACATTTGTATCGGTTCCCGGAATATAGTTTTAATTCTTGGAAAATCTTCCTTTCAGTTTGAAGATGCTCTAACAAGAAACGCGCGTACTCAGTACGAAAAGATGATTCTTCGGCAAGAGATTGAAGAGGATGAACTGAAAACCACTGCAGAAAACGAGCTGCAGGAGCTCAAACAGCTTCAGGTAGATTTTTTTATTTGATAAACTATCAGATAGTTATGTATTATAATATGTACACCGACTTAACAAATTTTGTAGTGCCAGGGTTTTTTTCATCCTCAAACACAAAACATCTCCAAGCTCTCTCTGAAAACTATGGACGTGTAGTTTGGTTATGATATCGGAATTCTTTTAACTTCCAAAGTTTTTTCCTTTCTTTCAACTTCTCTTCTTTGCCTTGTTGTTGAATTTATTAGGTTTTTGAACGGTTAAAAGGTTTTTAGGGGACCCCTAATACATAAATGAAATTTCAGTAAGAATGATTTTTTGGTCACCGGAAAAATTTTGCTCTAAGGCAAACACATTTTGCTTCCCCTATATGATTGGATTTCGTTTATTTTTACTTCTTATTTTGGTTGTCTTCAACCGAGCATCAAGATGTTTTTAGACACAGAAGCTAGGTGACCTTCCTTACAATACACCAATTCAGTTTACGACCTCGTTTTTTAAATGACTCCAAACTTCATTGTACGAATTTTTCGCACTAAAACCAAGGCTAACCTCAAATTTAAGTCCATTCGTGTGCGATTATTTATGTTATTTGTGCTTTTAGAATGAAAAGTGTCATATGCTGACCCAAAGTGAGACCGAGAAACTCAAAGACCGAGATGAGAAGCATGGTGCCGAGTTGCAGCAATGGCGGGAAAGTTTAGGCCCGAGGAAAAAGGTGAATATGTCTTTAATGACCTAATAGGAGAAAAGCAATGCTCAAACATTTTTTTACCAAAATGCGTCCTCTGTCATTATAAGCAAAATTATAAAATAGGGAGTCTGAAACAAGCTAATGCAAAAGGCCAGAGATGACTCGGGAACAAAGAAGCTGAAGTCTACCAACGAAAGAAGATAAAATCGTTTCGTGATTTCGATACCGTCCTGGAATTTGTTTTCTTTTCAGTGCTCTCACTGGTTATCATAACAGACTCCTCGTGTGTGACGTCATAAAAACATATTTTTGGAGTTTTTGAGTTTTGATCACATAAGTTAAAATAATATAATTTAGTTCTTTTAGCATGGAAAATCGGCTGAATACTTCAAAATTATGTGAAATATTAAGAAAATTGCCAACGGATGACTGTTATTTTTGGTTGTTTCATAAATTTATGAACAGAGACCAACTTACAGGGACTGGATAAGGAAAGAACCTGTACTTCAGCAAATTTCTTACACATTTAGTTGATTTCACGCATTCAAAGAAATTCCATTATAGTCTTACAGGTTGTGTGATCCAAAAGTAAAAAATTCTGGAAGTAGATTTAGTAGACATTGTGTGAAACGTTCGTTGGAAATAACATCGCTAATATTTCCTATTGTTGCTACGTCGTTTAAGGAATGTGTTTTCGCATCTCTTCTTTTAATTGCATATGCTCTTCATTATAGACCTTAGAAGATGAATTTTCACGGCAGAAGAATGAACAGCGACAATTCTATTATCAGCTTAGCAGCAGTCCACTTCCGGAAGATTTTCCTGGAAATAGTGAAAAGGGCAACAGCTCTTAACATTTCAAATTTAATAAATATCGTCGAATTATACCGAACCACGATTTTTCTCATACGTTGTATGAGCTTTGTGAATTCGATTTATATGTTTTTCGATACCACAGCCCTCAAACAGTAGGCAAATGATTAATTTAATCATAGTTAGCTATTTTCTATTCAATTCCCATGTAAATTTATCCTTTGCGTTTTTGTCTTGAATTTATCTTCTCTGCTTGTACCCCAAGAAGATATAAAAGTGTTTTTTGTATTCCCAATATAGACGGAATTAGTGTAAACATTACTGGATAATATACCTAAAGAATAGTTAAAATGTGATCGTTAGGACAGCGTTTATCGTAAAATCACGGGTTTCATTTTGTAATATAGACAACACATTTGATCATATGAAAACGAGACTGAAGGCGAATAGAAACTCTCCTTTATGAAAAATTTCATCCACGTGTCTCTGCTTTTGATGAAATGATCATTCGCAGTATATATCTTATGCTAAATACCATTTTTGCCATATACCATGCTAGGGGAAGTTTTTTGCGCAGCGTCTCAGAGGAAGGGAAGAATTTTATGAAGAAAATCGTACTTGAAATCAGTCGAGGAATAAACGAAGGATAAATTCCTCTATTCGGATGTTTAGCATTTAAGTTGCCTTGGGAACGTTTTAGAACACTGGCCTATTGAAAATTGTGTTTAGATCCTTCAACGCATTATTGCTTAAATACGCAATTTTAAGGACTTTATTCTAGTTACAGTATTTACTTCATTTAAGATCACTAAAGCCTTCCCACCCCCAAGATTTCGAAACCTTTCTCGGTCCTTGGATCTATCTGTTCTCTTGCTGCAGATCTCCAAATTGCCTGCCATCGCATCATTACTTTCACCGTCATCCAAACTAACATCCCTATTTTTAACTGCATTGACTGTATTATTAGCATCGCCTATGAATATACATTATAATTATAATAACATCATCAGGCATCTTTGCATCGCCGTTACTACCCATTTCTACATCATTATCAGAACTATCACCCATATTTACATCGTAATTCATATTTACACCACCTATTTACAACAACGCAGTTGCCAATTTTCTTGGGGTGATTTGGGGGACCTTTGTAGGTGCAAGGTAAGTCACTGCATTGATTTTAGTTGATATGTTATTAACATTAGGTACATACATATTATCTCTTCTCCTGTCCTCTCCCTATCATCGCAAAGACTAAAAAGTTATCTATATACTTTCATCGTTTATGTTTGTAATTCTTATCACTGATAATGAAATGTGGAAGTTGAATTCGAGATGGTTTGCAAAATTGAACTTGACCTGGCCCCACTTTCAAACTTGGTAGCAACCATAAAAATAGTCATATCGAGGCTGTTGTGTTTGGGCCTAAAGTTTGGTTTCTGGCGGGTAAGCAAGCCGTAGTGAAGCACAACAAAATGACCTATCAAATCTTTTCTATGATATTTGAACCGTGATGGGAAGCGTCAGGAATCGAAGTGCTCCTGCAGTTCCTGGGCATCGGCAATTACCAACAAGAAACAGTAGCCCAGCCGTGAAGAGTAGCTATGGCAATCGCCCTACTAAGGAAGTTGATGCCAGGCTCAGCAAGACAAAAACTTCAGCTGCCACCTCCAAGCCATCTGCCAAACTAAACGCGAAGACTGTCAACCCAGTAAGTTCCTTATAGATTAAATGTTTCGCCGAGAACAACTCTACCCTTAAGCATTTTATTTTAGTTTGATTAAACAGACACGGTGACTTCTCAAATATCCTCTTGTCCACAACAATGGGATTGTTGGTGTGCAAATCATTCAAGGTGTGCAAGGCATTGCAAACGCAGAGCAAAATATTCTCGAAAATTTTTTTTACAAATTCAACAGCCTTAGAGTTTGAAGATATTTTTCGAAGTCGCCGGCAGTTCTGTCTGTTTCATGAAAATCGATTTATTGTCCATATTATCTTGAAAAGTGGCCTGATCCAAAGGTACCAGTAATTCTCAATGAGTTTTTGATGAATAAACGCAATCATAACTGCTAACTCAGTGATTATAAGAATGTCAGTGATATTGCATGACAATAATTTTATGGACAGTAGGGCCTATGAACAAACAAAACTTCGTTTTGATTCAGATATCTTCAAATGATTGCAAAACAATTCGTTAATTACATTCTGGAAATTATTATGAAAGAACAAGGACATTTTCTCTGTCAATTTCCTTGGTGTTTGCTCAATTTATAACACAAAACCTTTCTTTGAAAGTAGTACCCTATATTTTGTGATAGCAGGAACGAATAATGACAGATTAAGGCCCTGTTCACACGATGCCAGATTCATTTCATATCTAATAGGCCTTCTGTTCACACAATGGCGCTTGAATCAGATATGCTCTGTATCGTTTTTGCGGAGTCAAACCATTCCACTGTGAATGTGGAGTGGACATCATATCGATCACTTTTGAGCATGCAAGAATCCGATACCGTTTTGCTCTGGAACCTCTGTTTCGAAAAGGCAGCTTCATTTTTGGGGTTTTTAAAAACAATCGGGCACTCTTTTCAAAACAAAAAATAACAGTGGATTCCAGTTAAACAATAAATATGCTCCTTGCGATGATGATGAGCTTCACAAGATTAATGCAAAGGAAAATTAGATTTTGAAATACTTATTAAAAGAAACAGTGTATCAGATATGTCACATTAAAGAATGCATTTAATCAGAAAAAGAGCAAAACAACAAATAACATGTTGCTATGCAATTGCTTCAAGACAAGGAATTTTTCGGAGCAGTGTTAAAGCGTAGCATCACCCTGTGAACAATCCGATACTAAATGAATCCGGTATCGTGTGAACAGAGCTTAATATTTGTACCGGATTGGGTTAGTGAATCCGATATGAAATGAATCCAGTGTTGTGTGAACAGGGCCTGAAAGCCTTCCAGTTGTACATATCACAAGTGATCACACTTCCAAAATAATCAAGAGGTGCGAAAAAGCCAAATGGTTCATTTTCGTATTACAAAGACTGGGGCATGTCCAGTATGAGGCTGTATCCGTGTCACAAGAAGGACTTTCAAACCAGTCTTCAATTTTACATCAATTGATTAAACCTCAAACCAAACTTCTGTAGTTTATGCCAGATATAAGGGCATAGGTTTGTTGTACGGTAGACTCTACAAGAGCATATGATCACATACAAGATTGAAGGGAAAAACTTACTGAAAATCTCAAGTATTTTGGTTAATGTGACCTCACTCTAAATGAACAAATAAAGACAAAGAAATAATCTTCATGTCAACTCATGCAAAAAAATATTAAATCTTCAGTAAAGAGTAAGGCTGGTCAAACGCCCCCAAATACTCCATATTGTGCCACTGATTGCACAGTAAATCAGGATAGGTAGTAAGTTGCATAATGTACCAGATTATTCAGTGTAGGTCAGAAAACATGCTAGCTCAGAATTTCGACACATCACTCATGTTGTAATTTCAACATAAGCCACTTGTCAAAAAAGTACATTCAGCTTTAGAATTCTCAGAGTGAAGGGTAGCAAAAAATCCCTTGACCATGATAAGCCAAAGCAAAACTTATGATATGACATGAATGTAGCTGAGTTATTTTCCAAATGGGCCTGCACAGATAAGGGGGTCAGAGAACCATAACATTTGGCATACACACTTAGGATTTCCTTTGTAGTTAAGAGCTTAATTTGAATGTTCTATTGTTTGCTTATCTACAGCCACTTTGATTTTTGTGTTATGTTTTACAAACTGACACAATCAATTTTTGCACCTAGCCATCACAGCAAATGTTTATGTCTTTTGTCTTTAATCTAGTTTGATGACAAAACTCCAAAATCTGCTTTTGAGACTGCATACGCCAATGGTGCTGTACCCTGCAGGTAAGCCAGCCTTAATTTTATTTCTAATTTATTATCACACCATACTTTTAAACTGCCAGGGTTCCTAATTCATCTTTTATCCCAAAGTATCTGATGAATTCAAAATCTAGGAAATCAGTTGCTACTCAAAGTGACCATTTGGAGTATGCTATCTTTGCTCCAATATTGAAACTGGTGGCTATGGTTTTCTGAAAGTCTGTAAAAACCGATGCCCATATGTTTCCCTTATGCAAAGAAAACTGGTGCCTATAAATCATATTTGGTATCAATATCCATAGCTTGAAAGTTTGGACGCTTGGTACATATCAAGGCCCCAGTGTGATACTGGTACATAAATATTGCTAAAAGGTGCACTGGTAGTGAAAATTCAAATAAATTGCAGGGGAAAGCACCCCGAAACCAGTAAAAATTTTTTGGCTAGATTCGTGCCTATAGACAACAGCATTTAGTATGTCTTGAAATTTTTGCTTTCTTTAAAGCCATTTAAATTTTGAACAACCAAAAAATTGTTGGCAAATACCATTTTTAGTATGTTTTGTTGTATAGGAATTAAGTTAAACCCTTTTTTGACTCAGTTGCTTTAATTTATTATTTGCAGGCTACAGCATGGTTCTGTGAGACACAAACTGCAATGGTCAACACAACCTGACAATCTTAGTTTTGACCCTATCCTAGTTACCCTAGCTGAGGTAAATGACCCTATCCTAGTTAACCCTACTTCTCAGTTAATTTTTTCATTCATTTCATTATTTTTGGACTAAACTTAGTAATAAATATTCAAAACTTGATGGATATGCATGTTTAAAGTAATGCTCTTAAGGGGAAGGAATTTATTATCACGATTCTAGGAAAAAATTATACAGGATTCTTAATATAGTTTTAAAAATTGCAAAAATCCAAACAGATACAAAGAGGTTTCTATTTTATAACTAAAATAACAGACACCTGACAAACACTTAAACACATTAGTTTGTGATGATGTAAATAATTTTTAACCATGTGATTCTTAACATTTTTCTTGTGAACATCTAGGGTTTAAGAGAAACAAGACACCCCTACACTTTTGTTGCTTGCGAAGGTTTTAGAGAAATGCTGATGGTGGGTGATGCAGAGGAAAGGACAGTCCCACTGCTGCCCAAACTCATACCTCCAATAAGGCTAGCTCTGGTTGGTACACGCGTCCTTTTAGATACTTTCTGTTTCCTTGTTGCAATTTGCAGTTCATTTACTGTCTAGCTTGAGACAAATGTCAAGACATCATTATCGTTTTTATAAGAAATATTTTTATTCAGAATTGTACCTCCTTTGTTATAATTCCATGTGTTCTTTACTTCAGGGGTCTCCTGACATAGAAATATTTTTCAAATCACTGCAAGCTTTGATTCAATTAAGTGATGTAACTGGACCAGAATTGAATCCTCACTTAAAGTCTGTTCTCCCACAGGTTTGTTGTTCAAATGATATTTTGAAGCAACAAAATCAATAGTGTTATCAGGTCTTAATGATGTTATAAATAAGCCAGCTTTTATGATTGAAACTATCCTCTTTTCATCATAAACTTCCCTTTTATACTTTCATTCACCTCTTTTTAATTTCAAAACAACCATTTCCTGAATTCTTAAGCAAAAAATTGCTTTATTGTAGTTTCCCAACTAGCCTTAGTTTCAATTTGTGGTAATGACCTATTAAAGAGCATATGTCACATTAACAGTTGGTGCAAAGACAACAGGATTTTTAAAGACAACTAATAGATAGTGCGGGAAAATAACCCACCCGAGCGAGGCTCGAACTCATGACCCCTGACTTTGTATGTGTGCTTTCAAGCCATCACCCAAGGCCAAGTCATTCCCCCGCACTCTTTTTTACCAATTACACAGGCTTATAAAAGTTGGCTTATAAAACAAAAGCGTTTGAAGTGGAATTCCATTGTTTCGTGACTTTTCATTTTCTTCTTCTTGAATTTTTACTGCCGTAAAAATTCACCCTTGATTCCATGCTTTGTACTAAACAAAAGAGCTAATTGTATTGCATTAGCCAATCATGTTCATGACACATGCCCTTTAATTTTATTTTCCTCCAAGATTAAGCAAACTATTGCTGAAAAGGCAGTTCCCCAATTTGCCCAAGTTTCAATTTGTGGTATTGGCCTGATAATTTTTGTTTCCTTCAAAAAAACATTGATTCAAAATTATATGTCCCTTCTTTCTCTCATCAGATATCTAGAAGAATTCTTGACAGGAACCACAGGGACAAAGTTTTCTCCGCATTGCAGCGACTGGAGTACAATGGTGGAAAGGTAAGTACCAAACCCTTTTGTGTAAGCAAACTTTATTGATTATTTTCAATTGGTAATATATTTTATACAAGACAATCTAAAGCAGTGTTACAATTTCCTTTCATAGGAAAGCACAAAGATCATAAAGGCAAGAATTCCAACTTATACTTCAATGAGCTAGTTAGATAATTTGGAATCTGACATCAACTTGTAAAATAAGCTTCAGATTTTTTATTGTAGCAAGATAATAAATGTTACAAGAAATTAAAGTTGAAAGAAAATAATTTGTACTAAAACTGTTGTTGTGGAAAATGGGAATGTTTGTAAATTTTACTCTGTAAATTCATAAGCTGTTGTATGTACAGAAATTAATGGTGCAATTGCTTGTACTTTTTGATACTCTGACAGTCCATTAATGGTTGGAGATTTTTCCCAATTAATATCAATTGGGTTTTCCTTTGCAAACCTAAGATTATTACACTACTGCAGGTGGAGAAAATTACTGGAAATATCTTATCAAAACAAGTTGATGAACAAAATAAGGCTTTATGTACAAAAATCAGAGTCAATTATCAGAATTCCTGACTTCCCTCGTGAGAGTAGCATTGTTTGCATTCATCCTTCAAATTCATAGTCTATTCATTAACCTTTTGAAAAAAACATGAATTCAAATTAGTAAGAAGTTAGGAAAACATAAAGAATTCATAAAAAAATCATTATGCGTTTCTTTAGGGTCAGGCATTAACTGATTTTACAAACAACATTACTGTGCCCTGCCAACCTAGGGTTGAGGGTTGATTTTCATATCAGATAGCTGAGACCAATCCAATATGAAAAGCAATATAGTATCATGTAATATGCAGCCTGATATTTGATTAGAAATGTATTAACCAGTTGCTCTTGTCAGTAAGTAAGGCAGGTGCAACTAACTGGCAGAGAAATTGATGGGAAAAGAGCCCCAGCCTTTTTATGGTTTATATAAATTTTAAAAAGGTTCAAGAGGTAAAAAAAAGAACATGAAAGGGAACATAACATAAAACACTCTATACTAAAAAAATTAAGGAAAATTATCCTGTTTTAACAACAAAGATTAAACTCCTTTTTAAAAAGAGAGCAACCCCGACCACTGCCTCACCCAATAAAACCGACCAACAGCTGTCTGTTTTTTGGACAACCCTATGCAAGAATTGAAATTTGATTCTATTAAAGCTGGGGATGCCTGTCTAAAATTGTATCAAGTTTCACAACTGTTTGTAATGGAAAGGATCAAATTTACAAAAATTAAATACCCACAGGGGGTTTCACAACTGACCATGCAAACTGCTAGTTACACATTGACATAGAAAATGTGGAAAAATGATAGGATTTCTATGCTTGAGAAAAATAACAAAGATAATAAAATAAATAGAAATTTTACAAACTCTATTAACCTTAAGCATAAATGAGGCAAACTGCCTAACAGATCTGACAACAAATGTCAAAGTTGTATATATAGGATATCAGACCTCGATTTTATATATGATGTCTTGCTTCAGAGTTCAGGAATTGATTTAATATATACAAATAAACATACCTATTATTTTTTTCCCCATTGCTTGACCATACTGATTGCTATCTCGGGTGTGATCTCAGGGCCAATTAGTGGATTAAGTTGGCATAAATAGGTGCACAACCAGCTGATAATAGTTAAGGCAAATCAACAATTTTAACTCTGGCTATGCATAAATCACAATATTAAATTATCCCAAAATATTAAGTCTAGTCAAAATTGATAATCACTGGAAAGAAAGCGTTAAGTTTGCAGAAAGTTCTAATGATACAAGGCAACATCAAATAAAAATAACTGATTCGGTGATCATAAATGCACTCCAAAAATAAAAAAGGGTTAAGATCATAAAGTGTTGTATGTACCAAACATTCTTTTTTATGTACGAATAATGGGTACATATAGGAGTGGTCGGGGACTCTGTAAGTAATTAAGTAAGTAAGTAAGTAAGCAAGCAAGTAAGCATGTAACCAACGAAGTGACACGGTTTCTGTAACAGAATGCTATGTTAAGAATTCCAATTTTCTTCTAACTAGTGTCCCCCTTTCTTTTGCTTGCGGCTATGAAATTATGTTGACCCAACATCATCAGCAAGTCAATTTTGCTAATTCTTATTTTGGCCGTGCCAAAAGAGAAGTTGGCACAGTTTCAAAGGAAGCTGCAGCACACAATTCAGCAATTGTGCATTCATACAAAGGAGGAAATGGCTATTGTAGGAATTTAAGGTTTTCTATTTGATAAAATCTTCAATTCTCCATGAAACTTTTCTCACACCATTGGTTGAATTGCAATTAGCTGTTTTGTCAATTGAACAGTGCCTAGATGGAGGTATGTCATGAAGAAATTTCCAGAATCTGTAAAGCTGTTGAAATGTTCACCTTCAGAAACATATACTACAATGATCACAAGCTGCTTTTTCTAACTATAAAACTTCGAATGAAACCATTAATTCTTCAAGTTTGCCTTTGCATAATCATGAACTATTGTGAATGAATGCAAATGGCTGTGAACAAGCGTTAATCGCCATGAAGCAATGTTAATTGTCAATGACAATCATCATGAGTCATAATAAATCTGCAAAGGTCATCATAAATCAGCTCAAATGATTATGAGTCTCTATAAACATTTGTAAATTGGCATACTGTAAAAGCTCTATTAAGCCTCCTCTCTATTAAGCCCCATCACCATGCCAAAATTTAATATAAGCCCCCTTCTCTATTAAGAACCCATCTTTAGGACCCTGACTTCAAACAAAGAAAACATGCCCATTGAGTGGGTCTCTTGACGCAGGTGATGGTGATAAATCACATGCATTAAACACGGCTAATGTAAAGGACACTGATGTTTAGTCTTTCAAAGAAATCCCAGAACATTGTCACATTTCTATAATATGTTTTATTTTGAATACTTAATGGCCCCCCTTTCAAATAAGCCCCCCTCTAGGACTGAAAAATAAAACAGCCCTCAGGGGCTAAATAGAGCTTTTACGGTAAATTAAAAAGAATCAGCCTGAGAGATCATACTCCACCGTCATTGACTATGTCAACGAGAGTTAGCTCTCGCTGAGACACTATATTCTCATAGTTAGAAAATTTTGCTTCTAAAACTATTACACCACTTCACAACAACTTAATTTTTTTAAATTTCAGAGTGATATTCCAGAGGATCAAAATAACCATTTTAGTTTACTCATGATTAAGTTTTTTTAAACTCAGAAAGGATACAACAACCATGCACTTATTGCCGTCAATACCAACATTGTTTGTATAAGGCTGAAAAAAGAAGAAGAGAGATGTTTTTGGTAAGACATCAAGTTCTGTATGCAGAAAAGTTACTTTATAAAAAACCTTTTGACTTCAAAGGAAGGTCACAATCAGTTTGTCTTTCCACATCTGTTATTTAGTTGCCTATTCTATCACCTGAAAACAATTTTAACTATTTCAAATTAAATGCCTATTTTCATTTGCAATTGAAGAATAAATTCAAATGAGCATCTTATAAAGAGCAACTATTCTCTGCAGACTGGTTGTTCACTGAATAGTTTTATGATCTAGCTTAAAATGTATGGCCCTTGCACTTTTTAGTTAAACAAAGACAAAAAGTTTGCACTTTAAAAAATTGCAGAGCCACCTTGAATGCTTGACAACTTGTGCAAAATAGACATATGTACAAATAAGTATCTATGATAGCAGTCACATAACATAAAGCTTCTGCTGCCTACAACTGCTTATTTCTTGAATTTTTTTTCTTTTTGATTGTTTATGAAAAGTAAAATGAAAATGATTTGGGTATGTCAAGGCAACAATGTGATTTGCTGGAAAATCTAAATAATGTCTTAAAAACAGGTCATGAAAAATCACATTTTGTTAACAAACAAAATGCATAAATACTACATTGCTTTGCTTCAAAGTCAAACACAAAACGACACTATATACTTTCGCCGGACAATTTTATCTTTAGCCTTCTGGCAAGTGGTACATTAAAAATTTAGCCTGATAACTCTGTGGAAGACAGCAAGATCCTGACTCGCCCTATTAGGCCTAGCCATCGAATAAATACAGTAGTCTTTATTGAAGTTTGAAAACTTACCTTTTGTTTGGGCCTCTAACAAAGCACGGAGCAACAGCACCAACTCCCAGCCAGATTAAGGTTACTACAACAAATGGAATGACTGCACTAGCCATCCTGAATGAGCAAATCAACAACTTAATGTTCTCCTCTTCGACTCGCTCGCGAAGAAGGTCATCTGATGGCAGGAGGTTTGGTAACTAGCGGGAAGGTTTGCAATACAACAACAACTACAATAACAAAGTCTGACATGGCGACTCAAATATGGAGCATTATATGAACTGTGCTAGAATAATGGTAACGTTACCCAAAGCATTGTGATCAACAGCAAAAAGATATAATGGATTTACTAAAGATATAATTTCGTAGCAAGATGGTAGCTGGTTGCTGCATAGTATTGCTCTGTGGCCTTCCAGGGGTCGGAAAATCAACATTTGCTTTGAAGTTGATCCATGCATTATCACAGACCAATAATCACAAATCAATTGAAACATTGAAAAAAGAATTTTCAAGTTCCAGCTCAGTTATTCATACTATTTATTTATGTTTTGATGATATCATTCCTGAAGGGCTGTATTCTGATGTTGGGATGAGCCATGACAAAAGTTTAAGCGGGAATGCAAGCGAAACTGCCGGTATAACATGGAAAGGTTACAGAGGGAAGATTCATGAAATTCTTAGTTTGTTCCTAGACGTACAATCTGACAATAAACTATTATATCTTGAAAAAGAGCATTCACAGCTATTGAATGTGTTATCACAATCAATTGAGATGATAAAACCTGGATACGTTTGCAAATGTTGGGAATCTGCCATGAAGGGGGAAAGGTATGTTACATTCGTTCTTGTACAGGATTTTCTACACTATGTTGCACTATTTTCCAATAAGTGCCAAATTCTTTTATTTTGGCAAGCATAATTTTTGAATCAATTTGTAATTGATTGTAGTTTTATCTTTTTCGCAAATTATTAGCGAAAATCAAACAGTTCTCTTAAAATTATTAAAAATGGTAACTTTTCAGAAATTAATATAGCTTTGAACCTTGAAGAAATTTTCTTATTTGTTTTGTATTTCTATCAGTTGGGTTTTTTGGGTTTCAACTTGAAAACCCTACCTGGCATTGAATAAAACTGTATTTTCTCTTCTATTCCCACCCTCTAAATATAATTCTGCCCTGGTTCTATTCTTTGAAAAATTAATCCTGCCTTTTTGATGTTGCTGCATGCGTGTTTGATGAACAAAAGAAACCAATGCATTTTAACTGTGTTTTGAGCTTTGAATTATTTTTGGACATTCAGGATTGTGTCTTGCTGTCTTAGTTTGATGACAGCAAGAGTGAATAATGTTTCAGTCAATCTGTGTCAACCTTCAAACCAACTTTTGTCAATTTTTGTAGTTTACATGCAATGTTTTCTATGCCAGAACACAAGTGAACGTGTTGGAAAACTGATAACACCTCTCTGAGAATCCTGCCTCTCTGATAATCTTGTATTAGATTAGGAAGTTTAATCAATAAACCCCAGTCAGAACAAAAGAGAGAATTTGGTCTGTTAATAAATATTATTGATATTCATTATAAGATTATTGGTATGTTTATATTGATTATTGACATAGGTTATATGATATAACTTAAGATTATTGTAGACTCTTTCTTCACGGAAATTGGCTGAATCATCCTACAAAAATCATCAAAAAGTGCAATTATTAGCTGCTCTAATTATTTGTTTTGTATAAACATCTTGATGCATTTATTGGGTTGCTTTCTTGATTTAGATGTGATGGTGATGCAAGACATGTCATTGTTATTGATGATAACATGTTCTACAGTAGCATGAGGTACAAGTATTATCAGCTTGCAAGAAAGTGTAAGAGATGCATCTTTTGTTTTTTCAGAATTATGGCAATGTGCAAAAAAAGGATCTGTCATGAAATATCCAAGCTGCAAGCTCCAATTGGTTCTGTGACTACTAGATATAAATTCCCTTTACTTTTTGATGGCTAGATAGGCTCCAGTTCCATGAAGATGTAAAGTATATTCTTGAGACTTGGGGAATGGTTAGGCCAAAAAGTATCAAAACATCATCCCTGCGTTATGTATGAGACCAGAAACAAACCCTAGATCACTTATAATTATTTCTCCTCAAAACAAAATGGATAAAAATATTTGTGAAGTAGCTTTAAAAAAAGCATTCTATGGACCAATATGAGCAAAGCATTCTATGGATCAATTTTAGCATAGAGCAAGATCGTTAACTTTTGTTCATGAAAATCAGACCCTGTCCACACAATGACAGATATTTCTGAAAATGCAATTATTTTTATCTGTTTCAATCTTCTGTCTACACGTAGCCGAGGTTTTTTGTCAGCGAAAACGCAACTTTTAGAAAACGCTCTCTAGAGTGGAAATTTTTGAAAACGTCGTTTTTGTGTTCACGTGTGGATGACAAAAACGGAACTTTTTAAAAACAATGACGTCACACACAAACGATTTTCAGCCATGATGCCAAGTGAAGTAATCGTTCTGCTAGTTTCGGAGCAGAATATCTAATCCTATCATATGAACTTTATAATAATAAGCGATTTTTAGTAATAGCACTACCTCATCGTCTGTCACAACAAAGTCTTACTAGTCTTATTTTTTGAAGGTTTTTTTTGCTTTGCCATTTATTGTGGTTTCCCTGATGTTGAAAATTCGTATTGCTGTGCAGAAGTAGTAAACAAAGCAAATGAAAAAATGGCACCAAGCAATTCACGCATGCTCATTCACGAATTTCAAGCGTTTTTATTTAGTTTTGCGTTTTCGTGTGGACGGATATATTTTTAAAAACGCTGGTGGTACGGACGTGGATTTATTTAAAACAGATAAAAATAGTTTCGGTTTCAAAAAAATCCGGCACTGTGTGGACAAGGCCTCAGTCAATCAACAAAATTTCTCATGGGCACCGTACCCAATCCTGTATCTATGATAACGACTAAAAAGAGTGAAATTGGCTCTTCCCAAATATCTTTATGTCATGTTTTTATATTGTCTAATAATTGTCATATGATAATTGTTTAATTTCTTTCATATTGATTTTAAACATTCCTCTATCGGAATGTGTACAAACATGGATTCAAATAAGATCTTATGAAAGGGGCGTTTTATGGCTATTTTGAACACAAATTCTTGAAATCATGTTTGGGGAAGCTCCTAGATCCTCATCTTATCTCCCAATTCAGCTCTCTCATTTGCAAGCGTGGATATTCATTTGATGGAAGAATGTCTCTTTCTTAGTGTGTCAGTGGGTTTTCTTTTTGCTCCTTGCAGATGCGATTGGTTTCCTAGAAGTGCATCTTCTTTGTGATATGGATGTTTTACTGCGGCAGAATTCAAGTAGATCAACTCAAGTCTCTGATGATACAATTCGTCACATGTCTTCTGTATTTGAAGCCCCTGATCCACACAAAAATAAATGGGAATCAAATTCTTTGAAATACAACACAACACAGGATATGTTTGAAATCAAGCAGTAAGTAAGAGTGTTATGATCACCCAATCTCTCTCTCCTCCAAACATTTTAAATACCCTCCTTGTTTGGATTGTTTTTATGTCGTTTTGAGATAGCAATTGTAGCGTTTTAGATTAAGCATACATTTAAGGACATTGCTATTTGCATTTGACGCTTTCAAATACTATGACCCCCCTGTTTCCATGGTAGCACGTCTAAAAAGTTCTTAGATGCAGTCGATCTCCTTTGTCACAGTGTTGAAAATGCATTGCCCTATAGCTAAAAGTATTATTTAAAAACTGTTTTGAAAACTGCAAACTTTTTAGAATCTTATAAGACGTCAGTATATTGATTGAGCTAGAAATTATACATACCCATTTGTAGATACAAAAGTAGGCCATGATAGGCCATGATGACTTATAGGGTAAAAGCGAACCCTTGTGCCTACACAAAAGCAGTTGTTTAATTTTTATGTAAATAGATTCTAAAAGTGCTAGATGGAACTACGACCAGACTCTGCCAATCCAACATATGTCGCAATTATAGTTTTGTATGTAATCTGGGCTTTCATGTAAATTTTGCCCTATGGCAGAATCACAAGTTTTGGTAAATTTTTTCTTAGGGAGAGAGCCTTGCTTATTATGTTAGAAGGAGCATGTTGTTTTATCCTATCCCCCAGTCTTTGGGCTGTATCTACTACATAGCCAGAATCACACTGGCATGTAAACTCATAAACAACGGAACTCTTTTTGGTGGTGGGAATGCAATCCTTTGAATGGATGGAAGGACCCTCCTTGTCGTGTAAACAATACTAGGATCAACAGCGATGTAATGGCCTGTTTCCCAAGGAAATTTTACCGACCTGTGGTAGTTTCAGATGAACTAGGCTTTGTACATCCCGTAGTGTGTTGCCAAGGCATATCGCAAACCTGAATTTTTATATAATTGCAGTTTACTGCACAATAAATTGTTTACACCTTGCAGATTAGAAGTCTTCAAGCTCATTAATTACTGTTTCGAAAATCCAGAGCAGCCCTTTGAGGAGGAAAATCCAGCTGAGAAGGTAAAAATTATTATGAAATATAGAAGATACTGGCTTTATGGTATAGATGTAACATGCCCTGATAAACTTTGAATGGCTGCTGTCGTTTATTAGAAGAGGTCGGTATTGATTGTTTCTTCTGTCCTTAAAGTTCTTTGCATTTCTCTTCCATTATTTTGTTTGAAGCTCATCTATGATGCTTGATAACTTTACTAATAGTCTTGATCTCTAAATCTTAGACTTTTGAGGGAAACCATTCAGACTTTTTTAAAAGGGATATTTCTTCAGCATATTGCTTGGTTTTTTGTTTCCGATGTACAGCATGACGGTGGCTAGTAATTAGGAAAAATTAGTGCTTTTCTTTGAATCAAATTTCAACCTGCAAAGAAATGTTTACCAGTAAATTTTTTCCTTGCAGGAAACAGCTTGTCAGGTCAATTTGACAAATATCATCCACCAAGCAGACCAGGTTATCCGAAAGGTGATTTCCACCGAGATCAAAAGGCTTAAAGGTATCTTTCTTAATCTTCTGTATCTCAGATGTTTCTTCAAACGTTTGATAGCACAGTTTGGTCTTCAAATATACTGAGATATTCTCAATAATAATGAAGAGGGACTTTGCAAAGAAATTACGATGTTTCAACTTGCAGTTTAACCGAGTTATGTACGATTTTCGATAGGTTATTTGTTTTAATTATATTGCTTTACCGTTAGAATTACATCGAAAAGTTTCCTTGGTAAAACAGATATAAATAAAAATTCAATTTGTTAACTTTCTTTTGGGTAAATAAAATTCGCTTCATTGCTCATCTTTGTGCTAACAGTCACCGCTGCCAGTGGGTATTTCTAAGAACCGATGTCCTCCGTCACTTGTCTCGCTTTCTGTTCCATTTTTAAAGAGCTAAATCGTTAAGAGACAAGAGCTTTAACTCCAGGTAGAGCAACTTTTCATGTCAAAAGAGTAAATGCTGGTCATCTTTGGGCAAAACAAAAAGGCGAAATATGCTGATGAAACCGATTTTGTTGTTAAAAAATTGTTTTAGCGAAATATTTCGAAGATTTGCTTCCTATAAATCATATTAAAATGAAAGGATTTTTTTGAAAGAAATATTTTAACAAGAAAGAATACAGAAAATAGCCAGAATAACAAGTTATGTCAATGCCTTAATGATAGACTTAAGAATTTTACGTAGTATAACCAGAATGGCGTAGATGAAATTTTACATAGAAGAGAATGCTTGTGACTTCGTTGCTGTAAATGAAATTCAACTCCAGAATAATGTTACTGATGTTGTTGTAGATAGATTTGAAAAAAATAACTAGAAAACACACACTACATATTTCAAGACCCATATGGACAGTCGAAGAGTCAGGACAGAAGAAGTTTTTTTGAGGACGAAGCAAAGTCTTTTTTCTGCTATGTCAGTCCTATTGACTTGTTTAATTCTAGTCGCATAAAGATGTAGTTTGTTTGATATTTGATAAAGGAGAAGTGAGACTAGGATAGTGATCATATATACAAAATAATGCAGTGCATAACTGACAACGAATTAAATGGTGGTGAATATTTTCTAATGTTGTGTGCTCTGAGCACTAAGAGGCAACTGCAATTTGTTTACATGATAGGTCTGCATTTTCCCAAGGAAAATTTGCAAAGAGAATCAATGTTATTGAACTCAAAAAGAAAGGCTTTTTTGAGCGCATTAAAGAAATCAAGCACGGCTTTGCAGAAACTGGATTCAATGATGGCCAACAACGGTAGAAATAAAAATTTTGAAGTGGAAATCACCGATGAGGTATGTGAAATGGCTTCTAGCGGTTTGAGATGCCACGACTCTCGTATAGCGCCCGAAAAGTGTCTTGCTTCTGTTGACGTCAGTAGTGAATTACTGCCATTGAAAGACGAAAGTTTTGAAGGAGAAGTACAAGATCTTTTTAATGATTACAATCAAGAAGACTTCATCAATGCAACACGTATTTAGATAAGTATGGGTGTAACATAGGACATGTATTTTGACTTGATTATTTCATACAAAGCATGAGAATCTCTCTAATATAATCCAGTCTTTTATCTTGTTATTTTAATTTTCAACTTATTATAGCTATTGAAACCTCTTGTAAGGTTCATGGTTTTTGCTATAACGTTTATTATCTAAACCCAATTTCAGAATGTTTTTAGGCATTTGGCATACACAAGACCAAATCCATTTTTCTATGTTTTTCACAAATAAGGTGTAACGACAGGAATCAAAACTAGTAATCAACACATTCAAGTCAAAACAAATTTCTTGCAGAGTGAAAGCCCAGCTGTTTGTTTCTTTTCATCAATCCTTTATAAATTAGTTGTTTATCGTGTTAAGGGAAGGGATATCCTATTTTCAATTTTTTTGGATCTCATTATGTGAACATAGCATTATCACTTAACAATCAAATTTCATATAATCAAATGAAACTTCATCACAGAGTTATCCGTTTCGAGAACTAGGCGCGCTGTCGTCTTAAAGAACTGTTTTGCGTCCTTTTTACGAGGGTAGAGTAGGTCAGTCTCCTCACAGATTCTGATTGTTATAAACAACTCCAGGAGACTGTTTGAAATGAGAACATAATGAAAAGCTTATATTAACCGCAAAAAATTATGTCGTTACAAGTGTTATGCTTGGACGAAGTTTTCGTCAACCACTTTCTTAAATGAGACGAAATTTTGCCACGACGACATTTTTCGATTCTAAGAATTCTGAGAATCCGCTAATTGAAACTTTCATATGGGGGCAAAAATCTAGCTTTCTCATAATTATGTTGTAGGCATTGCAAATAACATTAGTGATCTTGTACTAGTCGTCATTATAAAAATTATCATCATCGTCATCATCATCATTTTTTGTTTTGGAACTGAGTTTATTTTTAACATTGTTCGATAAAAATAATTCTTACTGTCTTTTCTACCTATTTATTTCTTTCTTTCGCTAAAGTTATTTGCGCCTTTCGTCAAAAATTTTAAATTTAGCAGAAAGCAACAATTTTACGAGCACCTTTTGTTATTGGCGATGGTCTGTTTTATTCTTGGTCTGTTTGTCTGTTTATGGTCTGTTTGCAACTTGGAAGTATCCTTCTATTTCTAAGAAAAACAACACTGCTATGGATGTTTCTCATGGAACATGACCAACAGTAGGCTTTTAAAAAAGCAAACATTTTACAGCATACTGGAAGCTTATTCGTCTCAGAGTCAAAATAAGCGCCCGAACAAGAACAAGATGAAAAATATGTACCCGGTTGTGGATCGAAATAGGCCAATCAGAAAGATGCAAGCACATCACCGGTATAGTTGTCCGATCAGTACCGCGTGCCTATAGAAAAATATCCCCTTCAATTCAAGAGAGAAAGCGAATTCCTTCTGTATACACAATAGTGGCTTATTCACAACTGTAGCTGTCACAAGCCTGTCTGCTCTTCCAAGCCACCCTGTCAGGGCCATGTTCCACTTCGACTTATTTTTTTTGCAGTAAGTCTTGTGGGGTTCTTCCACACCGACTTTCCTTTTTGAATTGTTTCTATCTTGCATCCGAAAGTAGTTTTTAGGACAATGAGAAGCTATTTTTGTCCAGAAAAGAGCTCTGGCTCTTCCTTTCATGATTCCTGTGTCTGGAATAACTGAGAGCTGGCAACTGCCATTACTCTTTTTGAAAGTCTGATCATGATAGAGACTCAAACTACTTGCAATTTCAGCTCGATTCAAGTTCTTTCCATTTTACAGATTCTTTTAAAGAAATGGGAGATTGTTTTTTTTATTGCCTTGCAAAAATCTTGACTCTAAGGACAACATTTATTATATCTATTCATTTGTTAAGTCTTTTCGTTACGATAATATTTTAAGAGAGAAAAAACAACGAATTAAATCATGCAAAAATATCAAGTTTTTCGAACTCAAAATGGGATTTCTAATGAATTTAAAGGAGGTTTGGAACAGACCGCCTTGTCATACGTTTAGGCTTCAAAGCACGCTTTAGAAACAGGAAAGCAAAAAGTTATCATTTGTTTTGTAAAGAAAACAGATCAGATAACGGGTCCAGTTGCGTTTCTTTCAATGCAGCTGATTTTCGAAGGGAGAATGATAAGAGGCTTCGCGAAAATATAGGCTAAGAAAGGATGGGAGCCCGTTGACAAAATCGTTTTTCCTGTTGAGTAGCCAAAGAAGAGGCAGTGTGTTTAATAGTGAAATATATGTGTAACAGCAAAGCATTTACACGTAAACTAACACAACTAAGCAGGACCACCAGGACGCCCAGGTAGACCAGGCTATCCTGGTCACGGTACCAAATTGTTGGGTAGCCAAAGAAGGGACAGTGTGTTTGGTTTAGTAGTGACATATATACATAACATCGAAGCATTAACACGGAAACTAACATAACTATGCATTAAAGTTGTTGCGAATGTCAAAGGCGATTACTACTTGACATCTCCCTTACATTGACAATGTAAAGTGGTGTCTAGAATTGCTCTCCGATAAAAAAGAAGGCTGACATTTCGAAAGAATTTTAAAGAAATGATTTAAAATCATGGCAGATGTCTTGCTTAGAAGTGGCTTGCAGATGACGACATTTTGTCATTACGAAATTCTGAAAATTTGTCCTAAATTTTTCGACGAAGTTTTTCTGCTGAAATCTTATGCGACGCATTTTTTAGTGGCTAAGGAATTGGTTTCTTTCTGTTTAAAACTGGACTGTACTGTCAACTTGGAACCCATGTAGAGAATGTCTGACCTCGAATACAAATATAATGGTGGATGATAGACTATGTAAGCTCAACCATATGCCGGCCCCTCGTTACACTGTTAAATCGTAAATTTTTGTCAGTAGCTGTTTATCCATTTTGCACTCTGTAAGCTTTGTAATTAACGGAAAACGTTTCCTTCATTAGCCGCAAAGGAATCTTGTTAGCAGTTAGTGACACCACCGTAAAATGTTCAACTAAAAACGTGTTCAAAGAGCCATATATTTTTGCTGGCAGCTTATATATTCTGTAATTTACCGCTGACCTTAGGAGCAGCAAAGTCGCGAAGATTTGAATTTTTGTTTGTTTTGCTATTTATCCTCTTAAAACCGCATAGTTAAAGAAGAAGAGAAGCAGAATTTTAAAAACTAAATGAGTTGAGCAATATATAAATTTGCTACTTCTTGTTCTAGTTTTAAAATCTCCCCGTGTTGAAGAAATCAACAACCAACATGTTTGAGGTCCGAAGATTTTAGCAATGAAAGGAACCAATCAGACAAGCCATCTTTTCCCTCCAGTTACTTTCAATTTGCACCTGGATAAAATTTTTTTGCCTACCATGGACGAAAGTGCTTGCTTCAAATTTTCCTTATCATTTTGTATGCAAACGATGATAAATTAAAACAGAAAACGAAAATGAATTAAAGGAAAAAACTTTTACCCGGGTTCTACCAAATAAAACTAGCATTATTATAAAAAGCCAGTAATTTTTGTCGACATCGTAATCAGTTTAGTATTAAAGCAAGTCATTAAATCGTTTTCGATGGGACTAGCTTTTCTTGCATTTTTTGACTGTAGCATTTTGTTCCAATTTTTCTGTTTTTAAAAAGTTTTTAAGAAGATCTTATGTCAAATTGGCTTTACAAGAAAATATCATTGCCCATGTTTTGTTGATATTTTTCGCCGATATTTTTTGCTAGTTAATTAGCACAATTAGAGTAACAGAAAGTATTAAGAAGGTTTTAAATGATTTTCTTTTTGTGCACGCATGAATACAGTCTACTTTCAGTTTGTCAACTTTAAAATTCACAACATAATAAGAGCTAAAAAAGAAGCAAAATAGCTAGATATAAAAAATAATAATGAATACAATATTGTTTATTTGTTAGTGGATTGATAAAAAACAGTTCCTTGTACCGGGCAATTTTTACCTTCGTATTTGCCAAAAATGGATCATAGAATTTGAATCATCATGTTGAAAATAGTCTGTGCCGAAAATTTCATGTTTTTTGGGCCGACAGGCAGCAAATGATCCTATTTTCAAATTTTAGCTTTTCCTATAAATTTCAATGGAATTTTTTCACTACAGCAGCAAATTCCGATCAAATCAAACGAAATATCTAAACATTCAAAACAAATTAACTCGCGACCGAACTGTCCAAACAGCATTAAGTTCTCAGTATAAACTAATTTCAAGACTATGATTTCAAATCTGAAGTTGATTTTTTGGAAAGGTCTGTAGATAGGGAGATACAGAATCGATGATATCAACCCGGAACGGTGAATAGAAATTTGTGTAACGAGAATTCCTTAAAAAAGAAGATATCTTAGTGGCTAATGGAATAAAATGAATAAATAATTTTGTTTTGCTTATAGTTTTTACTTATCTGTACTTTACGACATTTTGGGGAGTTAATTCGAAAGGGGGTGCTCAGGTAACAATGATATTTATTATCATACTTTTAAAATTAAGTAAATTATAGGGTAATAAATAAAGAAGGAACAGCTTAAACCAAATTATCATTATGTCCAAACGGAAGCCTCATCATAGCTTGTACCAAAAACTGTATATTCAAGAACATTGGCCTATACTTTTAACATCCATTTCTGCTTTCTCGTTTAAAATCCAAACTTTTATAAAACAACTCATTCGATTGAACGTCCCGAAGTGAGGCACTCATTCAAGAGGGGTCGCTGATTTTAGAAATGCTTTCGGAATGGGTCCCTTATTTTAGAGGGGGCGTGAAATGGATTCGATTTTCAGAGCCCAAAGCTACTGGTACGGAACATTGATTAAGAGTGATTACGAGGGGGTGGGAGAGCGAGGCTCAATCAAAATGGGAATTTTCATTACAAAAACTGGCAAGAAATGTTTACTGTGGTATGTGAAAAACGTTTAACGCTAAAAACTACAAACTGGTCTACTTTCAAAGCACCGCATTTGACAAAGAATTATCTGTAATATACTGGAATCGATATGGGTTCAGAAGCTACTGAGTTAAAAACAAATGTCACTCCTGCTGATGAAGATGTGGATATGAAAAACTTACCGGCTGTAACGAGTCCTAATCAGTCCCCACCTATTGTAGATCCTTTTCGTAAAAGCAAAACTTTCAAGGGCACAAAAGATAAAAATGAAGCACGCGATAATCCTGTAAAACTAAAGAGGAGGCTAGAGCTAGTCGAAAAGGAGCTGAAAGACTCGAAACTTGAGATCAAACGATTGAATTCAAGGTTAGACGAAGCGGATAAAGAACGCCAAGAGATGGCGGGGACGGTGAGCTCGATGTATGTTCAGCTACAATACTGGAATGCATGGTTGGGAAAATTATCCTCTCGGTTCAATAGACAATTTGAAAAAGATACAGAAAGCTCGAAGGAGCTAGCGGATGTAGACAATTCGACAGTTAAAAATGAGGCCCCTTATAATAATTCAGTCCCTGAATTAAGTTTAGAAATAGCTCAGGCAAAGACACTTTCTGCGATAGAGAAAGATGAATTAGAAACAACAAAAACAGACACAATTGAAGAAGTTGCAAATAATGACTCTGTTGCTGAAATACTCAAAGAAACAGCTGAGAATGCATTTGCAAACACAGGCATGTCATATGACGAAAAAAGTGGCCTTTATTATGACTGGAATACGCACATGTATTATGATCCTACAACACATTTGTTTTATGACAATGACAATGGAATTTATTATTATTATGACAATACTAAAGGCAGTTATGTATTCTATTCTCAAGTGAATGTAAAGCAAAGCAATGGAGGAGCAGCAAGTCCATCAACCAATAACGATAAAAGTGAGGGAGAGTTGAGTAGTACTGAAAGTGAAACTGAACCAGAGAGTGTCCCATGCATCAGAGCCATTGTGACAAAGTCAGAAACACTGAAAGAAGGATCTTTATACTTGGTGACATGTTCTGGGGTGACAATTGGAAGAGATAAAAAGCATGTGTTTAATGTACCTGACAAAGATGCAAGCAAAAACCATGCTGAAATTAAGTATGTGGAGAAAGATTCAAAATACTTTATCAAAGACAAAGGAAGTATAAATGGTACATTTTTGAATGAAAAAAGATTATCTGATCAAAAGAAAGAGAGTGACTGGGTTCAAATAAATCATAAAGATTTTCTTAAAGTTGGTAACACTGCTTTTGCCCTTCATGTGCATCAGAAACAGGAAACCTGCGATGGATGTGAGCCAGGGCAAGTACAGGCATTGTTAATTGAATCTAAACCTGTTGACTATAGTACTTCAGTTTCAACCAAAGAGCGAGACAGAAAAAAGCAATTGAAGGAACTGAAAAATAAATATCTTGTCAATGGTGATGGTCTTAAGCAAGCACTAAAACCAATGGAAGAGGGTAAATATACTGATCGGGCTAATAAAAGAAGAAAGAATATTGGCAGTGAGCCAATAACAAATGACAGGCCTGTCATTGCAACAAAGGCTTCAGTTAAGAAAATGATACCGTCAGAAAACAAGGGTCATCAAATGATGCAAAAGATGGGATGGAAAGTAGGCGAAGGTTTAGGGAAGCAAAGCACAGGCATCACAGAGCCTATTAATGTGGTTGTCAGGGAGAAAAACAAAGGACTAGGGACGGGGGTTACAAAATCAGTTGATGATAATGACAAGGCGGGCAACTTTAGATGGAAAAAAGCAAAGCAGAGGTATGATGATATTATGCAAAATGAAAACAATGCAAGCAGGGTTCAGGAAGAAGTTATTGAAGATTTTGATTTCTAATGGTGTTTGTGATTTGAAGTTACCTAACAAGTTTCATGTTGAAATATTTCAAGAGTTTGTCCAAGAGACCTATGTTGTGTATGATGATTACCTGCAATTTACAGGCAATATAGTAATTGATAATTTACTATGAGTAAGGGATATAAATTAGAAATTTATAATTTTAAATTGTTGTTGTGTCTTCACGACAGCTAATTCTTAGCTGTTATTTAGCTATTTCTTTGGGTTGTAAATAAAAGGCTCATATTAAGCATAATCTCTGTCAGCCCCTCATCATTAAATTTGAGATGGTTTACCATAAATTTCAGTTAATTATATACTAAGCCCAGTCTCTTTTATATCCAGATTTTAAACCAGGCCTCTTTTTTTTAATAGACTTAGCAGTTCTCTTGGATTTATATTTAAGAAGCTGCTAATGCTAGTTATTTTTCATTGATGTATCACAGAATAAACAGGAAAAGCAATTTTATAACCTTGATATAGAATATTTGATAAAGCCCCCCCCCCCCTCTGTAATACGTCCCTCTCTTATGAAGCACACTCTAGAACTTGGAAATCAAACAAGCCCCTCTTGGGCTTAATAATGCTTTTTGGGTGTGTTGTGATGTTAACTGCAATTCATTGTTCTGATTTTGTACATGAATTCAGAAGAGCATCCGAATTGAAGAATCAAGCTTCCTTTCTTTAATTAAACGCTTTCTTTTGAAGAATTTAATTTCTCCCAATAACGTGAAGTGTTTTAATTTGTAGGACACCACCCACTAAAAGAGATATTGTGATGACACATAATCGCATGTCTTAACAAAGTTTATAATCGAAAAGCACCTTTTACATAGAAAAATCTTGTCTCTGACACTTTAGAGCGATTTATTGTAGTTTAAAACGATATGTACTCGAAAAGTCGCATTTGAAACCATACTTAAAAAATCCGAAGTTAGGATCAGATTCCATCTCATTTCGGATATATGGAAAGTTATTGGCATTTTTAACCGAAGGTTTTACTGGTTTTTGTTTGAAACTAAAATCCCTCTGGTAGCGTGGACTATCTCAGCCAACCTTTTAAATAAGCATTTGAGAGCTTAACCTTTTCCAAATTGAAATTGATTGCTCTGAATTGAAAGATTTGTCAGTTAATCACGGCAAATGATATCTCCAAGGGCTTTAATGTGGCGTTATGGAAAAGATTCCTTGTGATATGCGATCAAACCTTTAAGTCCCAGGAACAATTAACCTTGCTTGGTAACTAAGAGAGAAATCCATGGTGCTAAACCTCAAGGAACATTTAGTAGATTAGTCCATATTACTCAACCTTTCCCTTTTGTTAATTCAAATATTTATTACATTAGAAAGTTGGACTTTACGCTGACAAATTGCTAAACATAAGGGTAGTTCAGAAAACACGTGGTTCCACATATGTATATCTACGACAATTGTAATGGACAACTTTACCAGTCATGTGCTAGCGTTTTACTAATTGGCTTACTTCGATTCACAACTGGGTAGATATTTCCCATCTTGTTCTTTCGCAACCTTATTCTGACGTTTTGCACTCTCAGGGGTGTCAGACAAAAAAACTACAAGTATGCTGTCAAATGTTTGCTTTTTTCAAAACCATTTTCAAATTTTGTACCGGCAAAAAATTGTTCAAAATTGTTTGCCAATTGAGTTGATCAGCAATCGATATGCTACATTTTTACAACACTTGAATTTGAAAAACAGCTTTGCCGATGACCATTATCACTGTCACATTCACTTAGCCTGAATCTGTTAGCAAGTCTTCTCCAAAAAGTTTCTGGGCTAAGAATTAACCACGAATGGCTGGAAATTTTCTAATGTTGTCGGCTGCAAACCGTTATTCTGAACATCCTCGAGGTTTTTTCTACAATTATCGGGTCACCACCTAAGAAACTCTTTACACCCAAGATTTTTTATGAAATGCGTGTATCATATCACAAATCAAGCCATAGGTAAAACTTAATAATTAAAGAGCGGCTATTTTTTCTTAAATTCAAATGGAGGCAGGGCGCTTTGTGTCGATCCTTGTTACTAGCACGCCATGCAAAACGGTCATATCGTTGCAGCAATTATTCATTCCATCAATCAATGGGCGAAGAAAGCTCTTACTGTACTTAATTTCGTTAATTAAAAGGAGGTGGGGAGCTTCCACCCGCAAATATGCAAATAAACACTGGCTGTGTTGCAATGTGACTGGGCCATTAGGCCATGTTTATTAACTTTGTTATGGATAGGTCGAAAGCAAGAAGTCGGAAAACGGGATGAAGTAAATTGAGTTTGTCCTGGAACTAAGCTCGACAAAGTAGGCGGATGCAAATTGATAGAATTTTCTGATAAACCCATGGTTGCTTAAATTAAATCTATTTTGCTTTCCCAGCCAAAGATTGGCTGCAAGTTCTATTGAATCTGCTTGCTCATAATAGGAATTACAGAGCACATGGCTTTTTCCTAGGATCCTTCCCATCTAGGCCAAATCCGCTTTTAGTCATAAATAGATCGTAATTGATTGAGCGTGTCTCAAGCAACAAAGAGCTTGTTTTTCATTTTGGCACAACAGATGTTTTTCATTTTTGATCCTTACTACTGACGGTAAATCAAAACAACGTCTGTGTTCGTCTTATAAAGCTGGGATCGCTGTCATGAAGAATTTGTCACGATAAGCACATCGGCAGATGGGGAAAATGGCTGTACGATGTCTGTTGATCATAGCATTTCTTCTCTTTGCGCTTGCTCAAGGCTTGGAAGGGAACAAAAATGCAAAGGTGAAAAGCGGTTTTTTTCAACGCAAGACGCTTGCAGAAATCATTGCTATCCTAACGGGCAATGACGTGGATGAGTCATTAATCGTGCTGCAGTGCAAGCAGTTCTGGAAGCTATGTAGTGGCTATTTTCAACAGAATGGAAAAGAAAGTAGCCGCTTAGAGTCAAAACTGCAAGAGAGTGCTTTGCTTGCAAGCAAACTAATTGCAAGGTATGTTAGAGGGAAGAAAAATCCAGCAAAAGGAGAATCGGTCATGGAAGAACTTTCAAACGAAAAGCGTCAGGTTCGTGGAGGAAAACGAGCTGAGGATGCGATTTGGTCACTGGAAAACGAAAGAGATTCGAAAAAAGTTCTTCAGCTATTGTATAAGATACAAAATCCTTTATCGAAGAGGCAGGTGAGAGGCGGCAAGCGAGCATTAAATCGTCAACATAAAGGCGAATATTATGGGAAAATTGAAAAATTATGGAGAGGCAAATCAAAAGATACTACATTTGGAAAACAAGGGGGTTTGTCAAGCTCCGATCAGGACAATAACGGTGGTGTCAGAAGTGTAACGAATGAACAACCTGGTATAAAGTGGAAAAAGAGACTATTGGAAAGCATTGCAAAAAGTTCTGACAAAATAACGAATCATTGGGATGAGCATGAAGATAACCTCTTCACGACGAAGAACTCTTTTCTGGCCGAAGAAGATCCAACCGGGCAGGGAATGTAAATGCAGCAGGGACTGCCTTAGTATGAAACTTAAGACAATAATTACGAAAATTAACAAGATGTTTTCTTATTTGTATTAATATTCAATTCCTTCTCATTTTTATTCTTTTTCTTTTTTAATATGCACATAATGATGCTGAGAAGGCGGCCTGTTGTACGGCTGGTGGCAAAAAGATTATCTGAGGGTGTTTACCATATCGTGATTAACAAATAACAACAAAAAGTCTTTGTTTCTGGTTTTTCTAAGCACCAGTTTTTACTCTCTTCATGACTTAAGTAAACAGCGTTTTATTAGCTGAGCTTTCTGAATGCTAGGGAACATTGAGAGGTTATTTTGCTAAGTCGATATCTGTCTTTGACAATTCTTTTCGAAAAAATTAACAACTTACTTAACAAAAATTTAAAAACGAAAACAAAAAAGTCAATATGTGTATGTAATTTCTGGAGGTTTAGTTGTCTTTGAATTACGATGTAAAAGTTCAGTTGCATTGTTTTACTATTATTTTCAATTCGTAAAGAAGCAACACCAGACTTTGCCCATAATATGGAATAGATACTCTTCCATTGAATCTGCCCTGATATAAGTCTTCCCTTTTTATATCAATGTTTATTCAAAAGTACTCCAAATTTAGATTCACATCATATGATAAAACAAACCCCCTTGTGTTATTAAATTATATCTTCTTTATGTTTCATGAGGCCTATCGTAGCCTCCTAAATGTTGCTAAAGGATGGTTTGGCCATTTTGCCCCTAGACCACCAAGGAACGGGGAACTGGGAAACGGGGAACACGAAGCGGAATCAAGGTAACAGTTGGAGCTATCATATCATCTCAAATGTCAAAATTTGTAACTGCATTTTTAACACTATTGGTGTGATATTCACAATTATTTTCTTACGCTGCTTGAAGGATGCACTGCTTTCAAGAGCGTCGCCAGCCCGACCAAAATTGGGGTAGACAAAATAATATCTTGACCACGCCCATCAGACTCGTGAAAAACGCAAAAAACGCCTTTTTTAATCTGTATTTGATCTACTTTGAGGAAAACAAACACATTACATGACACATTACAAAATGGCTTTCGAGTTTTCAATAAAAGAAATACGAATCTCTCCCACGACGTCGACCAAATATATCGATTATTTTATCGATATCTTTCGAGAACATGATTTGAACATTATCGTTCGGTATTGAAGAGGGCTACATTGTCAAGTATTTGCTGTTTTACGATGATATGTGCTACGAAGATATGTTCTTATGTGCCTAAGTGAGCTGAATGTCCGTTTCGATGAGCATGATGCTGCTGGAATAGTGGCCAAGAGCGGGCCAGGATTTGCATCCCTTCAGCAAAATGTGGAACTAAGTCCGAAACATTGTCATCATGCATCATTTTCAGCAGTTCACAAACTTTTTTTGCTTGATCTATTTGATTTGCAGAATCTATTTGGTAGAAGAAGCAAACCTTTCTGATGATTTCTGTCAAAGGGCTAGCATTCACGTTTGCATTCCCTAATGCCAGTGGCCTAATGCAGTTTAGGTCCCCAACCAAAAGGGGCCCAAGATGCCTTTACGTACATGATTTTTAAACTTTTCTCAAGTTCAAATAGCTTTCCAAAACGTCTCAAGCTCTTCAACTGAAGCTCTATAACTCACCTTACTCTAGCTAAGGAGAAAAAATTCTCATTTTTACATTTCACTATTGTTTGACGTGCTTTACACCTTTAAATTTTTCTCGTATCAGCTTTTTCTTTCGGGCTCCAGATGCCTCCTTTACGCTATTGCCAAAAGCTCCCAAAATTTCTTGGTTATTGTCACTACATTAGGCATAGATTTCTCCAAAGACTTTGTCCATTGCAAAAGCTTGTCTTTAAACAATTTGTACAACCACTGAAGACTGAGTTTGTAAAATCCAACAAAACAATCCTATCTGACACCATTCAGTGCAGAACTCATAAATTGACACTTGTTCGTGCTGACTAAAATCTGATGTTCCATCAACTCAACTATGACAGCATAACAGCCTCTTTCTTTTACTTCTTGTGTCCTGTGCCCAGTCCACATTCATAACTTTGGCAGCATTTGATGACTGGGGCGCAAGCTGTGTTCGTGTCGCTTTTTTTTGTTTTCACACAACATATTTTCTCAACATTATTCCATTACTACTGAAAGTGCTCGCGGTTACGGCCACTTTACTCATCTCAGAGATTTGTAAACAATTTTAAAATGTAGTTTTCTGATACTTTTGTCTTTGCAGAACGCTCCTGCCTGATTTTTTCCCGAAAAAACAGTTGCCTGAATCTAGGGAGGGCTTCAGCCCCCCTCCCCCGCTCCGTACGGCTATGAGCAGGGGGAACAAAAAACTACAGGTTGCATGAAATTTTTAGCACATCATTGAAGCACGCCTATCTTATCTTGACTAACCATTAAAACCATTTCATTACAAAGTAGAACTCGCCGCCATTTACAGTAAGGTTCAAAGACAGATGAATAACACCTAAAAGCCAATGATAGCACCTGGTTGAAATTCATATCAATGATGAAATAAGACAGTTCTATGTTTTGACATTTGAAATGGAAGGATAGCGTTCAATCTTATCCCATTCCTCCTCTTAGAGATTCTCGCCTCCACCTTTAAAGAAGTGTAGTAAGTGATAAACTGCCGTTAAATTTGGCATATTCATTCACTCACTATCTGAAGCAACTCTCAAACCAGGCTTAAATTGTAGTATCGAAAATAACATTCAATTCTTCCATTGAGAAATTTTTTTGTTTTTTCGAGGAAACTAAGATTCGGTACTGTTTTAGAAAATCCATGAATGGAAAACAGAATTCTTGGACTTTTCCTGGGAAGGTATTGTTAAGGAATCCGATAACAGTAAACGATTAGTTAGTGATTTTTAACGTTAGCTGGGAAAAAGACAGTAGCTTAGAGCATAGCCAATAGACTATACCTAGAGCAATGGGCTAATTGATCCCAATATTGAAAATAACTTACCATTTCAACATTTCAAACTCTAAAATGTTCAATATGCTTCAAAACTTTAGATTTCTTATTAATTTTGTTCACTATTTGAAGACGATAGACGACTCTAATAATTTTCTCATGCCACATATTTAAATTGTTCTTCTTTTAAAACATTTAAATCATCAACGACTTGCAGATTTCGCCGATGAACTACTCTTTGTTTCCAAAATCGTTAAATCACATTTTAGATATCAACTCAATTGCTCCACGAGACCATCTTCTAGACCTGAGCGACACACATAGTGGTAGTGTTGTCAATATAATTGAAAATATCTTTACTTTTGATAGCTATAATAATGTCGCTTATAAGTGAACTAAACAGCGGAGGCCCTTACATCTAGCCTTGAGGGACACCAATATTAATCTCGGTCCAGTCGCTAAAGTAATTGATTGTATCTATTGTTTGAATCTTACACCTAAAGAATTGACATCTACCCTGGGAACCAGAGTTTCGATTATTTGGTCTCAGAAATTGCCACCGCAGCCGTCTACAATACTTTATCTCCGGATACATGAGGTTCTGGTACCCAGGGTAACTGACATCAATCTTAGACCACAAGCAACTTTTGCCCGGAAAGGTTTCAAGTTTGTTATATTAAATGATAGTAGTTTTGTCCAATTAACTGGTCTGTTGGAAAATCCAACTACAAAACACTTGACTCAGCCAGCCAGCTTATCAGCTCACATCCAACTGTCCAAATATTATTTGTTTATAAACACGCATCTTCAATTGAATAACAACAGCTTGTTTATTTTTGTGAGCACTGGATGAACTGAACATTCGCTGGATGATGCATTAAAGCAGAGCGATCCTACGCTCACATAGCCTGCAAGCAGACTGGACTGGTTTTTCCCAGAGATGAATCTAGTTGATTAGAAATTTAGTTGATTAGAAAATTCAGTGTTTCTCTCCCAGTAAAATTCAGCGTCACGCGTGGACGATCGTTTCAGAATGCTGATATCAGCGGACATAGTTTCTGTGGCTGATTCGCAGACTCTGCTGAGAGACAAACCCTAAATTTTCCATTCAACTAAATTCATCTCTGGGAAAACCAGTCGAGTCTGCGTGCAGGCTAACGCTCACAGGTTCAATCAAGATCATAATTATTAAATCAAACTGACAGAGACTAAGAACCGGCCTATTCAAATTAGAAGAAGTGATTGTTTTTATAGTTACTTTAAAGCCCTCAAGGTTAGAATGACTTGCGAGCAATCAAGCAATTAACGTCCAATGAGAACCAAGCAGTTGTGTTTAATTGGAGAGCCCCTTGAAACACAGATTTCACCAAAAGGGTTGACCCCCTTTAGTTTATTTTGAAATAAAAGATGAATTTCTGGAAAAAGTTTAGATTTTTTCGCAAACGTTTTTCTTGATAATTGTTCCTAAACGAAAGACATTGATGGAAATTATTTGTCTTTAAATTGGCAATTAATTTACAAGAAAATGTACAAAAGCGTTGCTCTTTGCTTTGCTCTTCTATGTTCATGTTTCATAAAAAGCATTTTTCTATTTTCAGAAATCTATTATAACGGCTCAGGCCATATGCAGAATTTCTATTGCAAGGGAAGGAACCCATAGAGGCAGGATTTAAAAGAATAGAGCTTGGGAACCTTAAACGATGGAAGTTGGTACAGAAGTTCTGCAATTGTTTAATCTAAAGCAGAATCAAACACCAATGTATCTTTCTAATGAAATCCCGTCCGAGCGTTAGTTGACATAAAATCTTGGAAGTCAATGCAACCTCGTCCAACATATGGAAATGTATGGAAACGCAACCAGTATATGGTAATGCTTTATGAGGTGATATTGTTATCAACTTCTTTGTGCAAAGTCAAGTGCAGACGTCTTCCTGGCTGGCTGATTATACTAGGTATGGAATTTTTACATTGTTTGTGTGCTTGTCGTAGACAATAAATATAACAACAATGCAACTTGCAGCATCGTTTTGGAAATTACTCAAAATTCCATTTTGCAGCCTCTTGCTGCTTTCGCAATCAGATTTAACTTTAAACCGGTAAAAATATTTTATTCTTGGTTTTTTATACAAGGTTTTTGACAGCTAAAATCGTTCCAGGTCAAACATGTCACCCTCGGTCGCCGATCACAATTATAGATTCCTTATAATGAAAAGTTTAACCTTATGTCGGCAGAGAATAATTGTTATGAGCACTAGCATTTATTAGAAGTATCTTTTTAAAATGAAGCCATAATTTTAATTAATGTATTACGGAGGAATCTCCCTTTGTTATTTACCTTTGCCGATATTTAATAAATTTGTTGTAAGAATCATCTGTAGCGAGACCTTGTTCACGTGCTGTCCATTTCCTCAATCGATGGCATCCACCTAATTGAAGAATCATTGTTTGCTATTTTATACTCGTAGATGAAATTAATATAACTGGCGAGTTTGAAAAAATATCCACCTTCCTTGTTAAGATAAGTCGAATCGACTGTTGGGAGTACCGTGCATTAAAAAATTTGAAATATTGAAATGAATTTAATATGTCTACGAGCCTGTTTTTTGTTGAATTGTGAATTGAAACGGTGTCAAAAATTTTCATCATAATTGTGCTCTGGTTCTTCCCGCTGCCATTTTGTTGGCCTCGGTTCCGTTTCGAATGTTTCATAATGATGGGTAGATAATTTCAAATAAATTCGTACTAAATTTTGGTCAAAATTACACATCAAATTACATTAAACTCCCCAGAGTGCTTTTTCGAAAAATCAAATAGTATAGAGACTAAAAGCGATAGATTTGTCGTTTGTCGAACTTTTAATTCGAACACTTTCGAACTGCTTCTGTTTGAAATTGCCGTGTGAAATGCTCAATTCTTCGTCAGAAAATTCGCCTTCTAAACTTTACAGGATATTCATTCCGCACTCACGGGAAGATATCAGTAACCCGTTTGTTCTTTTTTGGTACAAAAGGCATCCAGTATACGAA